CTTCATAGTCCCTGCCCCTTCTGAGTGTATAATTGATAGGGGTGTGGTCATTTTAGTATCCACAGAGGAGACTAGAGCACTCTAGTAAGTGTGTAAGTAAATACCTTTGCCAACGTGCATTAAGCAAGCAATAGCCTTTACCAGGATGGAGTTTAACCCCATACCAGAAGATATTTCACCTATTTATATCAGAGAAGCAAGGCAACATGGGGGGGGGGGGAGTGTCAGCAACTAGCAAAGTCAAGCAGGGTGGCCAGAGTTTTGAGGGTTGGGCAAGTGGGTCATACTGTAGGAGTATAAAAGTATATTGGGCATTTTAACAAATGATTAACACTGTACACGAAATGCTAATGAAATAATGGATAAATGTCTCATAATGCAATCATTGTGATCAATTTTCTGTGCATCTGAATGGAAAATAGTATTTTACATCGTACATGAATGTGAATCGTGATCAAAAGTAAACATGCTGTTATCTCCACATATAATGCTCTTAAATGGAAATTGACAGTATATATAAAGTGAATTGTGATAGTCTGTTTACCAATAAATCTAATATCACATTTTAATAATGTGAATGCTACATTATGAGAGCTGCTCACCATTAGCGAGCATTGCAATATTTTGTTTTTTTCTGAAATAATTGTACCATGATTGGCAGTTGGGGTTTATTTTTGTACATCAGAAGATCAAAAGCCAAATAGCCACCTTCAGTACACAGAAGAGGCGAGGATGAATGACACATTGGGACTTGTACTTCTTGAGCCAAGAGACTCATCTCAAAGGAAGACACAGTATTCTGTGGCTCTCAGTCAAACAATCAGGAAAAATTCTGAGAAAACCAAATTAAAACTTGCAGTCAGGTGGGTTAGGGCACAGTTTATATGAGAACTCAACTGATTCTATTTTATTCTATAAATCATGGTGAAGCAAACATAACTCAGCATGATATGAGAATGTTTTACGTGTACATGGGTGGGAAAGATGGTTTGTAGAGGGCAGGGACACTGGTCTGATAACAGAGATGTGCACTGAAGATGTTACCCAGACGGGTAACGAAATGTCTGTAAGAAAACAGCCAAGCTCAGAGAACCCCAAGGACTCCACAGTTCAACACTGAGCTACATATATTCTCTTCTATTGGAACAACAGAGATATAATGCTGCCAGTCACTAAGTGGGAACAAGAGGACTGATAGAAATGTAGGAATCTACTTTACATTGGTTCAGTCCACGTCAATATTGGATGGCAACAAATCTGAGGATTTCCATCCACACACATGATTCAGCCTGGGACATTCTGCACGTCTGTCCCACAATAGATGGAAAATGGCAGAAATACTTTTAAAAAATGTGGATGTCGGAGTTCCATGGACCAGTATCATCATCTAGCTGTAGACTTTTATATCTTTTGGATACTGGATTAGCTGTATTATTGCTTTGGCAGAAATTATTTCCTCATTCAAGAACAAGACTGGAAATTGGAGGTGACATGGGTTTGCAAACATTTAGAAAAAGGCAGTGTAGCTAGAGTTCCTGTAGGCATAAGGCTAAACTGTGACATTACATGCCTCCCCTTCTCAAGATTTAGTAGTTTTCAGGAAGTTGAATGTTCACCAGTGATGTAATAAGGACTGCTGTTGAGAAGAAGGGGGCAAGAACGGCTGCTTCTACCAGTCCAGTTGTTCCAGCTCAAGATCTTTCACCTCTTAATTTTCTACATAATTTACATTTTGATCATTTAAGCATTGCTCTTTCAGATCCTGTTCCTTCAGTATTCAGCATTGATGATGTGGTATCACTTGTGAGACAAGAAAATGCCAAAGATATTTGTGTTATCAAATTGCCTCCAGAAATAAAATACAGCAATTATTTTATAATTGCCAGTGGATCTTCTGCAAGACATCTCCATGCCATGGCACAATACCTGGTAAAAATGGTATGGCATTTTTTTAAAAAAAATTTAGATATGGAAGAATTTTTACAAGCTACAGTTGGGTGGCCAGTTAAGAGATGGAGAGGGGTAGATACTGTAATATGAGTGCTGACTGAATCAAAGCAGACAGGATTTTTAAGCTGCAATTAAAGAAAGATTAGCTTTGACTGCCTGGGAACTAGAGACTGTTATGTGAATGTTTATAAATATTAACCATAATGCAGAAAGAAGGATTTTTTCCAGAAGATGCAACAGATGTTTCAGATTTACAGAAACTGTTCTGATTTTTTACTAAGTTCCTACAATAGCAAGGTCTTTTTCATGGAATAAACCAATATGTACTCTGTCTCATAATTTAAGATATCTCCCTTATCCGCTTGCTTTTGGTTTGTTAATATACCTGTACATTACTGTGTGATGGTGATTCTCCTTTGCTGAATTTTGAAAGAACTTTCATATTTATTGGTAACAAAATTCACCCACATAGCTAATGTCAAGATCAGTAAGGCTTAGGAAACCCAGAAACACAGTGATAATTATGGTCAACTCCATATGTTGAAAATGCCGGTGCATGGAGATAATTATTTAACTCAAAGCCAAATTTGAGTTTTTTTGCTAACATTTTATAAAATGTGGAGTTCTTAGGGTTTTCTGAGCTTGGT